CTTGCTGTGAGTATGACATTTTGTATCTAACTCACCATTGATCAATAACCCGAACCCTAATTTACAGGTCTCTTTTTGGAGCCGGGAAGTAGGAGAGAATACAATCAAAACTCCTTGGCAGATAAAAGAAGTTTTGTGTGCAAAAAAAGAACAAAGACCCTCCATTGAAAGATGAATGGTGGTCTGTGGAAAACCACACTGCATTGTGAGCATTATAACTTTACTTGGTTTCAAAAGGCAGTCAAGAGGGATAAATCCACCCCAACCACAATGCCCATGGCCTTGTTCTTTCAGTAACCTTCTGTCGGTTTAATAATATCACTGATCTCTTTTGATAGATTTCCAAAGTGTGGATCTAGAAGATGCCTCCTCAGCAATTCCCGAGGAAAGGATCAGGGAGTGGAGCAGTTTACTTAGGGAAGTTATGGGTTCTCAGTCGCTGGAAACTCAGACAGCTATTTCTTACAGTGATTTAATTCATTTTCTCTCAGATTGCAAAGGATAGTAATTCAGTTGTTCTATGTATGTTTATATATGTTCAGAGAATATAGTAGGAACAACAAAACTTGTTTTTAGGCTGAAGAAATTTACAGGTGGGGTGATTCTTATGCATGATGTGCCACTATCAGGAACAGCTGTCACAAAACCAGTATAATACCATAAGTAGGCCTTTGTTTCAGTGTTTCTTCGTTCAAATCTCTGGGTAAAAGTTGGGTTGCTGTGGAGAAAGTTCAGTTTCCTTCATGCAAGAAATTTGTTGCCTGATCTTCTCATGTCAATTCATACAGGTTTCTTGTGGAGATCTATTTACTGCTTTAATGACTCAGGCTTCTAAGCTGCTTCCATCATATACTGAAAAGATTAGAACAACAAAAATCTAAAATCGATTCCAGAAGGAAAAAAATACTTTCAGGAAAAAGTATAGCCATAGAGTCAAGAGTAAGGGGGTCTCATGTCCTATAAACTATACTGAACACCCTATATAATGGCTAATATTCTAAGGATCTTTAGCTTTTTCTGTATGACTGAGCAGAAGAGCATTATTTGAAAAAGTGTTATTTTAATCCTGGAAAAAAAATCTCATGAAATTCATTTGGGCTCAGTAACATGCTTGAAATAAATATGTTTGGCTTCGTGTCATATGAACAGCTCCTACCACTGGTATGTTTATATGTATTACATTATCCTACAAATTACTTTTCTTGAATATTATGGTTCTTCTTCCCTTCTTAAACAGACCTCCCAATTCCTTGGCACTGACATAGTCGCCCTCCTGGGTTTAATAAGTTGGTTTTTCTTTTTGCTTTCTGCTTTCTCTATTTCCCTTTCCTCTGCAACAGCATCTGCAACGAAGGTCAAAATAGCTGGTCACAATGATGCAATTAAAACCTTGGTATGTGCATGTTATTGCATACTCAAAAAGGACATGACTTTGACTGTGTAGTCATGTTAGTCATCCTGCATCCAAGTCTTTCTTTCCCTGCAGAAACTCCTGTTGCATCTGTATCATCTTCCTATATTAGCTTAGGAATTATAAACTGGACTCAATGTCATACATCTTGTCCAAAATCTTCAGATTGATAGTTCTCAGCAAAACTACAGGTCCCAGGATGCCGTAATCAGTAATCAGATGAGCTGTAATGTATACAAAAGACTCTAAAGTTTGGCCAAATGGATCCATATAGAATCTGCCCCCTCAGATGTATCAACTATATTAAAAATCATATTTTAAGAAAATCTGACTTTCTAAAGGAAACTGATAGTCCTTCAATACACAAAATAACCTGTGCCTCACTTCTGTTGCAGCTTTCACCACTGTCTGAAAAATCAGCTGAAGTATATGCATTTGATAGCGGAAATCACTTTAGCTTTGGAATGATTTGCTAAATTAAAATAGCATAATAATTAAGAATTATGTTAAGAGTAATTAACAAATATATCAACAGCTGCCTTTTCAGTTGCCTCTATGTGTGTGAACTATGCAAGATTGCTTTAAAATGAGAGTAGGAGTGTTTGATAGATTCTGCCCCATTTTCCAAAAAAACCTCTTCTTTTGAATGGTGAACATTAGGTGATGCTTGGAGAAAACACTCAAATCAAGTATTTACAGTTCAATTTTATGCAAGGTAACCATGGAGCATCTGCCCTAACATTCACAAATTGCTTTGACATTTGAATGCAAAAGCAATTTGTCAGCTCTACTAAAGACCTATCTGGGTTTTAAAAAGCAAAAGAAAACACTCCAAGCCAGGTTTGCATATACATGTTAATTACTTCACTGCTCACCCACATCTACAAATCATCACAGAGATACCACAGAGAGAACATTCATACTACCATATATTAAGATGATATAGTTTTGCAATGAATTGATTAGAACATTCATTTTCAGTTCAAGACAGAGAAATCAAATGTGGATGTATGTCTCAGGTGAACTAGCATCTAATTTAGGATAAATACCGTGTTTCCCGAAAATATGACCTATCCTAAAAACAAGCCCTAGCCCAATTTTCACATCTGTGCCTAATATAAGCCCTACCCCCAAAATAAGCCCTAATTAAGCCCCACCCACATTGCCCCACTGCCTGATTGCTCGAGGCTGTAATGGGGCAGGAGGCTCGCAGCACCACTACATGGGGTAAGGCGGTGGTGGGAAGAGCTGCCAGGCCATTCCCTGCTCAGTGACCTCCTCCCACCCACCCCTTCCCTTTTATTCACCTCCTGAGCTGAACTGCCATGCTACGGAGGATGAGCTGGTGTGGCTCAGTCCTCTTACCCATTCCCCCTCTGCTTTTTTGGAGCCAGGGGGGAGTGAAGGCAAAAGATCTTTGCTACCACTGCACATCAGCATGTTCGCTGCTGGAGGGGCTTTCTTCAATTAACCCCCAACCTGCCCTGCAGATCACCTGCCTGGCAGTAGCTGTTGGCTCCTCCACCTGTTGCTTCGGTCCTGCAGCACCGCCTCGCGCTGTCTTGTCCCTGTTTTAAAGGCGGCAGCCCTGGAGGTTTGCAGCTCTGGAGGAGTACAGCTCTGCCACATTTCAGTAGATGCCGGCCTTGCCTTGAGATGGGCCCATTTCAGTGCCTGGAGGTCTGAACCTACTTTCCAGTTCTGTTACATTTCTCTTCCGCTGAAGAGCTGGAGAACTTGGAACACCCCCACCAAAGCATTCCTTTCACTTACCTGCTTTCCAGCTCCGTTGTGTTTCTCCACCGCAGCGTGCAAGGCAACAAAAATTTCTGGGACTAAAAAAAAGTTCGATCAGACCTTCCAACTTCTCGCAAAAAGATCTCAAGGTTTTTTTTAAGTCCCACAAACTTTTGTTGCCGTGAACACCCTGGCAGGGAAACACAATGGAGCTGAAAAGCAGGTGGCTAGACAACTCCCCCAAGGGCTTCAGGTGGTGAAACGGGCCTATCCTGAGGCAAGGCTGAAACACAGTGGCAGAGCTGCCGGCCTCCAGAGCTGCCACCTTTAAAATACCAAATGGGGACCAGGCAGCGGGAGGTGGTGCCGCAGGACCGAAGCAGCAGGTAATGGTGGAGGAGGAGGTGGTGCCACCAGGCAGGTGATTTACGAGGCAGGGTGGGGAGACAGAAGAAAGCCCCTCCAATGGCAGAGAGGGCTGATGTGCAGCAGCAGCAGAGATCTTTCGTCGTCACTCTCCTCTAGCTCCGAAACAGCGAAGAGGGTGAGGCGGCAGTGGCATGAGTCCCAGCCACAGCTACCGATGGTGGAACAGTAGTGGCAGCAGGAAGCGTCCCACTGGCTGCCCCCACTGGGTGAGACAGGGAAGGGGCTGCCACCTCCTCATGCCACCAGCATCAGGGGTCCGCAGGTTGGATGGCCAAGGATACTATTGGGGCTGCAGGGCCAGTAGAGCCTTGATATTGGCAGTGTAGGACGGCGGCCTGAGATGGATAAAGCAGCCCCTTTTCCATCTCACCCGGCTATTGATGAAGTTGTGCAGCACTGCCACCAAATGGACCAGGCATGGCATAGGGCTGGGGTGGAGCTGGAGGATGATGTACCGTAGGATGGCAGGGCAGAGTACTCAAGGGCCATGGCATGGTGCCACCCCACCCCTGGTCTGTTCATCATCTAGCCTGCCGAGCCCTGATGCTGGTGGTGTGAAGCGTGTGGTGTGAGGCTTCCCTATCTCTCCCTGAATTTGAGATGCAGTTTTCTATTGAGGCATATTAACTAAGATCATTTTAAAGAGCCCCTCTTCACAGATCTTCTGAAATAATGAATGCCCTCAAAATCTTGTTCTGTGTGAAGAGATCGGGATTTGAATACAGTGGTCCCTCTGAGCTTGTAGTTTCATGCTGCATGACATCAGAAGGGGCAACCAGAGCAGACTGGTCGTTGGGTGGATAAGAAGAGTACAAGAAAATGGCAGTAGATTCAAGCAAGCAATTCACTTTGGGACTTTACTAGCAGCAGTGAAACTTTTAATTATGCTCTCATTTGACCAAAGAGATAGGGGAGGGTTGGTGGAACTTTTGTGTGAGCTCAGGATCCTATTTCAGAAATTAAAACAGCTTTCAACAAATGTGATACAAATTCAATGTGTACACTAAGTGTAAGGAAGGTTATATAGTGCCTATGGGGTGTTTTCCAATGCTGTGTGCATGGTCTTTTGCATTTATGAAGTGGAATATTGATGCTTACACTTTACTTTCTTACTGGGGAAGGGGAAGTATTTTAAAGATAAATATTGACTCCCAACAGTTTGTCACATTTTCTTGAATTTCAAATATTTTTTTGAATATTTTATCCAATTTTCTAGATCTGAAAGTCCCTGAAGAAAAGTTCTTGGTAGTGTCTTCCTTATTGTCTCTGTTCAGAAATGCAACAACTTGTACGTTATGCTATGATCTGTCATCGATTGCTGAAAATCTGTTCTACAGACAGACTTGCCAAAATGGACTCATTTTTGAGCTAGCAGGAAGACTATGGCGGTCTTGCTTTTCTGATATCAGTATTTTGTCTTAGAATGGCATGGAACAAAACACCTTCAGACACGTCTGATCATACATCCTTGCCAGTTTCACTCAGGATGTTAATGGCTATAGCAATGTTCCTCATGATTGCCATTGGATTCTTAGGCAACACCATTGTCTGCTTGATTGCTTACCAGAAGCCAGCCATGTGTTCAGCCATAACTCTACTTTTAGCTACACTGGCTTTCTCTGACATTATGCTGTCTTTAGTCTGCATGCCATTTACTGCTGTCAACATTATTACAGTAAACTGGAATTTTGGAGCTCATTTCTGTTGCATATCTGCCATGCTTTACTGGTTTTTTTTTTAATCTTGGAAAGGCTCTCAATACTCTTAAATCATTAGTGTGGATCGATTCCTCATCCTTGTCCAGCACCAAGACAAGCTGAATCCCCATCGTGCCAAAGTTGTGATAGCTGTTTCGTGGCTCTTGTCATTCTGTATCTCCTTCCCTTCCGTTGTTGGGTGGACATTTGTGGAAGTGCCAAGCAGGGCTCCACAATGTGTCCTTGGATACACGGAGTTCCCTTCAGACCGAGCTTATGCAGTGATGCTGCTTATGGCCACTTTCTTTGTCCCTTTTGGCAGGGGTCCCCAACCACCAGGCCGCGGACCGGTCCCGGTCCATGGAACATTTCCTACCAGGCTGCCGGTTTGCTAGGCGCTGCCATCTTGTTTGATGAGAAAGTGCTTCCGGGTGAGCTTTTCTGGTTGGAAAGTGGCGTTTGGGTCCTGAAGGAATCCTCGCGCCTTAGTTTCATCGAAGGGGGGGGCTTCGAACGAAACTAAGGTGCGAGGATTCCTTCAGGACCCAAGGCAAGGCGAGCCGAGCGACCGTCCCGAAGCCGTCCCGAAGCGAAGCCCATCGACAAAGGTACAAAGGAGGAGTTGAAGGTGGCGGGGAGAAGCGGGGGACGGCTGGCTGGCCGGTCGCTTGGCTCGCCTTGCCTTGTCATGTGTGCTGATGCCGGTACCGGGCCACGGATCATTTTGTGATGCCGGTACCGGGCCGTGGCACAAAAAAGGTTGGGGGCCACTGCCTTTTGGCATTATGTTGTATTCTTACTTTTGCATCCTGAACAGTGCCCGTCAGAACACAGTCCGGATCCACAACCACACTGAGAACATCTGCCTCAGCCAGGTGAGCAGGCTAAGTCTAGTAGGACTGCAAAAGCCTCACCACATTGATGTAGACATGAGCTTCAAAACTAGGGCATTCACTACCATCTTTATTCTGTTTGTTGGCTTTTCCCTATGCTGGCTTCCGTACGCAGTCTTTAGCCTGCTTTTCTGTCTTCATCCGACTGTTTTATTACAGCCCCTCTTTCTATGTCATTAGCACTTACATACTGTGGCTGAGTTATCTCAAGTCCGTTTTCAACCCCATCATCTACTGCTGGAGGATCAAGAAATTCCGTGAGGCTTGTCTGGAGTTCATGCCAAAAACATTTAAAATCTTTCCCCAAGTGCCTGGACGGACAAAACGGAAAATAAGGCCAAGCACAATATATATTTGCAGTAATTCCCCATCTGGAGTTTAGAAATAAACCATGATCATTATTAATGTATTAGAAATAAGATAAAACAGCGGATAGCAAGACAGGATTTGTTGCATCCAACATGTGAAATGAATGAATTCAAGTTTAATGAACTCTAGGTTGGGGATTGGCAACGTGCGACTCCTTTGGGCCCTCTCTTGCAGCTCCCTGTCGGATGAACCCACCACTGGCTGGCCCCGCCCACCGCCCTCCCTTTCCACTCACTCCTCGCCTGCCCTGGGAAGAGAAGGATGACGGCGACTTGCTCCGTATTCCAGAGAGCTCCTCTACTGGCCTCTTTTTCCAGCCCTTGTTGCTATGCGCACCTCAGCCACTGGGAGACGCACGACTTTCCTCCACCCCAAGACACTGGCTGGGCCGGCTGCAGTTGATGCTCTGAGTCATAATGGTCTCCAGGAAGAGGAGGCGGCAGCAAGAGCAGCAGCGTTAGCCACAGCTGGCCCAGCCAGTAGTCTCGGGGTGGAGAGAAAGACGTGCATCTCCCCATATTCCTCTCAGCACCTCCATGGCTGTTTACTGCTTTTGCAGCGCCTTGCGCAGCACACTTAAATTTAACACACTTCACACTGGGGTGGCCGGCATCCCCTCCTCCTCCTCCTGGAGCCCATCACAATGCGGAGCATTGGCTGCAGCCAGCCCAGCCAGTGTTTTGGGGCAGAGAGAAAGTGCCACATCTCCCTGGTGTGTGCAGCACCAAGAAAGGGCAGGAAGAAGCAGCCACCAGTGGTGGGATCATCCGACAGGGAGCTACAGCTGGGGATGAAAGAGCTTCATTTATTTGGGAACCTGAAATGGCCCTTCATTTAAATCATATGGTAAAAAGCACTCGAAGAAAGACCAACATCACAAAACAAAACAAAACAAAACCCCAACCCTCGCCTGTTTTTGAAAATGGTTCAAGAGAGAACACACGCGCACGCACACACAAGAGAGAGAGAGAGAGAGATGAGAAAGATGAAAAAGAAAGACGAGAGAGAGATGAGAGAGGGAGAAAGGGAAAGGGAGAAAGGAGAGAGAGATGAGAAAGAGAAGAAAGAAAAAGGAGACAGGAATTGAAAGAAAGAGAGGAGAGAGAAAGGGGGAGAAAGACGAGAGGGAGAAAGAGAGGAAGAAAGAGGAGAGAGATAGAGCGCTGTTTAAAAGAAAATATCGGGAGCCACAAAACCTGAGTAAGCATGGCTGGGGGTCAGGGTCATGTGACTGGGTGGGAGTGGCTGTCCAGCCAGGTTTTGTGGCTCCCTTTGCTTTCTGTGGGAAACAGGTCCAAATGGCTCTTTTGAGTGTTTAAGGTTGCAGACCCCCGCTCTAGGTAGTTCATCCTGGTAAAATAAATCCTGGGACAGTGGCTATCAGTTCTGAAATTAGAAATATTTTTTTAACACGGCCTTTAATACTGTTAATACTGCCTGTGGTACTGTTTTATGAATTAGCTAAGCATATTTAAGGTTGTCCATGTTTCAAGTTGAATTGCACTACATATCCAAAGTCTGGTTTTTTCAAATCTATTGCCAATAATAACACTGCCTTTGTAATTTTATTTTCTTCCTAAGAATAAACATCAACATGCCTGCTTTTTTATTTCAGTGTCTATCCCTTCAGTCAAATTGGTTGTCTTACAAAAATAAGTATCAAATTGCAACCTGAATATCGTACAGGGAGAGCCATTTTTGCACAAGTCCATTCTGACATTGTACAATTGGGGTTGGCTTAGATCTCTTGGTCTATCTTTTAAATAATGGGAGATAATCCGGGTTCAAATTACAAAACATGGATGATTTCACCTTCCCTGCTACAGAATCCTTACCAAAACTGCTTCTTGCACACAAATCCATTGAAAAATCCCCTCAAATAAGGATTGTGGTCATCCAGATAGCAACAGAAGGAAAACAAATCAATTCCTTACCTATAATATGCAAACAGTTCTGGTTGTAATTTTCGTTGTTGTGATTTCAAAGGAAAATATGGAACAAGCAAATTAAATGCATTACAGCATTTAATACAGGTATCCTCTGAACCAGGGGTCACCAATCTTTCGGACCTCAGGGACTACTAAATTCATACATTTTAAATCCCGCAGACCACTGATATAATCTGCCCAGTGACCAGCTGGGTGGGCGTGGCTAGATGGCCATGTGACTGGGTAGGCATGGCCAACTCGATGTCACTCCCATCGAGAGGCGCCTCACCGGCCTCTACTCGCCCTTCCCCTCCCAGCCACTCCTCACCTGCCCAGGCTCCTTAGGGTCCCGACAGGAAGGAGTTGTTTGAGCTAAAGCAGCCACCAAGAGAAAGAGTTGGGAAAACAGCTGGCTCAGTTCAGATTGGAGCTGGCTAAGAAGGAGGATCAGCAGAAGCACCTCACTGAGGACTACGAGCATAGGCTTTCCAAACAGAGGGAAGACTTGCAGGAGTGCAAGGCCAGGTACTGGAGGCTGGAGGCTCAGCTGCAGCCAAGCTGGTATGGTATAAACTCTCAACAATTGACAACAGCATCCAATCTGAATCAGATTCCAAAGTAAGACAAAACCTCATATCAAGGGTCTCTCCAATTTTGAAACTGGTCTGAGGGAGAGGAGGAACAGCCGACAGGGAGTGGAGGTGTGGCTCCAGAGGTTGTGGAGGAGGCTAGGGGAGGGCAGAGGCCGGCTGGGCAGTCAGGAGGACCCAGGCCCTTCCCCAGAGGTGAAATTCTACCAGTTTGCACCTATTTGCTAGAACCTGTTGTTAACATTCTAAGCAGTTCAGAGAACCAGTTGTTAGAAGAAATTACTGGCCTAATCCTGTAAGGAAGGCAGGAAGGAAACATTCTGGTGTTGCTTACAGAAACTGCCTCTCCCATAACTCTTATTACATTCTTGGCAGGACTAGGAACTCTCTCAGGAACTTCTCTGGAGTTTTTTTTTTCCCTCCTTTGCTGGTACTTTGCTTGTATGGAGTGACCATTGAAAGTTACAGTGGCACTGAAAAAAGTGAGTTAGGACCATTTTTCACACTTACGGTTGTTGCAGCATCCCCAGTCTTGAGAGGCTAGGTGAGGGGATGCGTGCCTCGATGTGAGTGATGTTGAGTTGGCCACATCCAGCCAATAACATGACCACCAAGCCATGTCCACCCAGTCACATGACCACCAAGCCATGCCCACCACCTAAGCCACGCCCACAGAACCGGTTGTTTTAAAAAATGAATCCCATCCCTGCCTCTCCATCCTAGGCCATGCAGGGAGGAAAAGATAAGGGAGAGAGAAAAGGGGGAGTATAAATGAAAAAGCAACTTCACATCATCGTATTTTTGATTTTGTACTTTCAAACTTATTTGCATATGTGTTCAGAATTGGTTCTGACTGGATGGACATATAACCTCTGCAAATTAAAAATGTAGCAGGCATTACAGATACCTGACAAGTTTCAAAGAGTTTGGCACACTGTTTCAGAATTCATGAAGTATTTTATTAACTTTTACCAAGCATACTCAGCACCTTGAGAAGTCACCTGTTGATTTTTATTTTTTTTTTTCATTTTGCTATCCCTTAGAATAAAAGTTTTCATGTCATTCCTGCAAAGGAGAGGCACTGGTTTCTTTGCTTGCAGGAAAGCTTATCAATGGCTCTTTGTAATGATGGGTATAGCCTCTTAAACAAAATGAAGAACACTACCTGGGAATCACTGATTAGTTATGTTGGTTCTAGAGAAGGTCGAGATATAAAAAAACTTTTCATTCAACTGTATTTACAGAACATTTGCATGGTAATAAATAAGTCATTACAATTACTACAGCCTGTTCCACCAGACCTCCCTCCCCAATCCCAAATGTTATATGCTTCCCACGTGAGAGACGTCCACATTTTGACTTATTCCTAAAGTTGGAAATAGCGAGTCAGTGGTCTTCGCATTGTCCTGCCTTGCTTATAACTAAAGCAGGAATTACTAAGAGCTCAGTGCTTCCATCAGTTTGTAATAGGTGAACATACAAGGCAGAGAAACGAGGAGAACAAAGGCTCAAAAGTGCTTCAAATATTAACTGTATCGAGAGCACAGAACGTGATGCTGTCACCTCTCATTTCAAGACCAGTTGATAACCAAGTTCAGTGCAAATTTTAATTTAAAAAAAAGTTCTTTCATGCCAAACCACTCACCCTTCCTGTGAGGAAAGGATCCATTTTACGTAAACCCCTGTAATTTCTTGTGCTGTCACTTTTTAAAAAGTTCAGTGGCTCCGTTTCACATTGAGTTTGTGCCTTCCCATCTATGCCAAGCCAGCCTCTTCTTTTTGCCTTGTTCTTTTTCCAGCAGATCCTCCTTTGTTACTCCCAGGAACCCAACCCTAGCACAGCCACTGACTCAACTCATTTCATGTCCGTCCACTGGAGCTGGATAAGTGATGGTTTGTATTAGAATTCACAAGTCTCTTTGCAGCACAGTGCGTGTGGACCACAGTGTCGTTGGGATAACGGACAAAGGCAGATTCACAGAAAGGTTTCTGGCACACCTGGCAGAGTTTTTTGTCAGAGAGAAAGATTGGGCTTTCTCTTAGTTTCACCTAAAAACAGCAAGAAGAGAAAACATCTGTAAGGTTCTTCCAGTTTTGTTTTTGCAAAGCCATTATTTGTGAAGTAGGAAGTTGACCAGAAGGGGTTGAATGACCATTGTCTTACACTGGCTTTCAGCATTCATCAAGACACAACACTAAAGTTCCTTTAGGGAAACCATAATACTTAATGGAAATGATCACACTAGATCTTTTGCAGTACCCTGGCAGTGATATGAGACTCGGAAAAGGCTTCGTTGAGAATTAACTAGATCCTTGGAAAGCTTGGGAATCTAATTACACTGGAAAGGGAAAAGCAGAAAAATTCAAGAAAGGTAGACCTACTCACCCACTCCTGCTCACACTTTTTAATACAGATATAGCACAGGAAGGAGAGATAGGAAACATAAGTCATCACGTACATATGAACCACAAAAATTGGAGTGTTGTTGTTCTCC